TGACTGGATTATCTGGTAAACTGTAAAGTGCCTTGATTTGACATGTATTGTCAATTGGCGATATATAAATAAACTGAACTGAAACTGAATTGAGTTGACAGCTTTCAAATAGTGATTTTATTCATTAAAAGGACAAAGCTCTTCCAAACAAAGTTAGGCTTATTGGATAAGTAACCCCAATTGGTGCCAATAAAAATAAGTATGTATGATAAATGGCAATAAGTTAGATGGACCAAGCCACACAAAAACATTTTTTAAGCCATTGAGAAATAAACTTGTACATGTGGTTTAGATCCTTTACCTTCTGCATGCTGGAGCCACAGGTCACCAGCTGATAACCAGATGTTTGTCCTTTAGGGTGTTTTTTGTGGAGAGCAGAATTTTAATTAAGTCCTGAAGAAGTATAGCAGCCCAGAGCATCACTATACCACCACCATGTTTGACCGTAGGTATAATGTTCTTTATCGGAAATGCTGTGGTAGCTTTAGACCAGATGCACCAAGTCCAAAAGTTTCTTTATGTTGAACTTTAGTCCATTGAAGAATTTTTTGCAGAATTCTTGGAGATAACCAACATGTTTTAGTAAAAAGTGAATTAGGTGTTTGTGGAGTTTTTGGTCAGCTGCAGTTTCTGCTTTGGATCTCTCCAGTGGAACAGCAGTAAGTGAGGCAAAGCAGGGAAAGGTCTTAGGGAATTTGCTTAATGTTACTTTATCTGATAATTAAATTTCTTAGAGGATCTTAAAATAGATCTACAAGGCTAATACTGATTATTTTGACTTTAGTCTAATTTGCCCCAGATCTATGCTGCCAATATTTTGAAGGGCAAATTCTATGGTTATTTCTCTTACTCCATTTAAGTGATAAAAATGACACAATAATAACTGCTACACAAGTCTTCTTTTAAACATTAGAGAAAAGTGGACCTGATTAAAAATCTCTCGTCTTTGAGCGCAAACTTATCCAAGGAAGCTACATTAATTCAGAATATGCTTTCCAATTTATCTGAAATAACGAGTGTGCTATCCTTCCTTAGCATATTCACATTACTGATTATCAATAATAACTGCTGAGCTATAAATATCTATGTCTGTGTGTCGATGTTTATTTTCTGGCTTAAGTTACCTTAATTTGTAAATTAATAGCATGTTCTGAGAACCCCAAAGGTTAAAAGCTTAGGATAAAATAAAGCTTTGCTGACCTTCCTGTTATTTGTTAAAAGTCAACCTCTCTAGTGACAGAAAACACAGCTTCTTATAAATACATATGTTCTTTATTTTAATCACACATTGAAGTACAGTCAGATAAAACCAACTCCCACGCATCACTGTTATTAATGTGGCCTCTGTGGTCTTATGCAGGATATGTTGACTGACAGGAGATAAATATGATTTTTGAGCTTGGCTATTAAATGGATTTGCAATATAATCGTAACCTAATAAAATGCAATTATCAAATTTCAGAGGCACTCAATTTTAGTCCCATTATATAGCAAGATTAAAACCCTCAACTTCTCATTCCAGCTCTTTGGTAGCAGTAAAATGCTTAAAATGTGTTTGCCACCACACAGAAAGGTCAAGAGAGCTGCAGTTACGATGCAGATCCATGCATGCAAGTAGAAGTAAGCACTTTTTCTACACGCAGGTTGCACTAAAATCCTACAAAGATGGACTCCTTTCAAGCAAGCCTTCAAAAACTGAAAACCCATCAAACATCTACAGGCTCAGGGTTGGTGCAAACAAAAATCTGAATAAAGTCGGAATATTGTTGAAAAATAATCTGTCAGATTCTCTGTGAGCTCCTCTCATCCTATATCTCAAGCAAACCATATTCTGGTTCATCCCCTTTTCTGATGCATCAGTGCTCAATCTTAAACCTAATTATGCTTATTTCTTTAGGCCTGAGCACTTGATAGAATTACCCTATCAGCCATTGTTTTGTCAGCATTTGGTTCCCATCAGGAACTATAAACAGACACCAGCATAATTAAGTGGGTAGCACCTTCTAAAAACAGCAGCAAAATTAGCATCCAGCCCACAGATGAACGGTTTTCCATGGTAGATTTGCATGTGAAAGAACAACAACATAAATACATAGATGTCTTCTTTTCATAGATAAAAAGACATTCAATTCAATTTGGTTTATTTATATGGTGCCAATTCACAACACATGTCATTTCAAGGCACCTTACAGAGTAAATTAAAGCAGATCATTCAGTCAGATTGATTCAAAGTTTTCTATCTAAGGAAAACCAGTTGATTGCATTGAGTCATTGACTCGAATGCAATCCCTCCCACTAAGCATGCTTGTAGCGACAGTGGAGAGGAAAATCTCCCTTTTAACAGGAAGAAACCTCCAGCAGAACCAGGCTCAGCGAGAGAGGCAATCTGCTGAGGCTGATTGGGGTTCAAGGAGACAGGATTAGAGATACAAAAGGAACTTGTCATCCAGCTCCACAGGAGAACTATGTGAATTTCTTTTATTTTACAAGGAGGATTTTCATGTTTTTCAATTTTTAAATAATTTATGAGACACAGCTGCTGGTGGCCTCATAAACAAAGACACAAGAAAAACAAAATACTCAAAATTAAATGATCTTACACAGCAGTAGGATCCACAACTGTGCAGACCAAAGCATTTAACCACCATGGTGTTCAGTAAAGGTGAATATATGGTGATGTTCATATTCCTTCTCTGTTTGTCATCAGCTGACAAATTGCAACAGCGCAACCCGAAATGATAAAATGACTTACTACTTTCCTAATTACTACACAATGTAGAAATTAGAGTGAAAAAAAAGAACAGTAAGATTATCACTAATACAAACAATTTGGTAAATAACAAGTTTTCCATTATATTCAACAGAAATATGACTGTGGAGATAAAGTATTTTTAAAGTCAGAATTTTATAGTGAGCATTAAGTGGTTGTGATAGAAATGGCTACTTCAATGTTGTTGATCATTTTAATAAAATAGTCCTACGTTCACTTCTATAAAACAAGTGTTAAAATGTTTGTTGGAAAATCAATTTAAAAAAGTAATTCCACATTTATCTGTAATTGCAGTTTATCTTTTGTCATATTTGATTTTTCTTTAAATTATCAGTTTTTTCTTTTCCTCTTTTCTACCTTTCTAATAGTTTCTTTGTTTTTTAGTAGTTTCCTGATTAAATACCAATGACCTCAATCATCCATCACTTGATGAAGACCATGTTTGTTCATGAGTTTGTCTTCTTTTACATACGGATCTCTACGTTTTACCCATAAAATCAGATGCTAAATAATCTTGTGACTTTTTCCATATTTGAAACTGAACCATTAATTAAACATGAATTAAAGTGACCAAAAGATTAAGAGATAATGTCATTTTGTACCTTAATGTTTTTTTCTGCTCTGTTTATGTGTTTTATCAAACATAAATCACTTTTGCTAGTCCAGCATGGCTACTGAGGACATTAACTTTACACATCCCAACAGGCGTGATTTTACAAGCTGCTTTCATTAAAAAAGAAAACAATTATAAATCTAGTTTGAAAGGAAATACACACGCCAGTCACAACAGCCTTTTGAGGTAACGTCAAATAAATGTAATAATAAGTCTGTTCTTTCATCTTAATAACTTCTTAGTGTAGGAATGTGGGTCCAATGTAGGAGGCTGTTCATTGACACTAAAACATAAATAAAGGGTCACTCTTAGGTGACAAGACAAGGCAATTTCATTTCTGCAGTTAACTTAGACTTCGTAGCACTGAAATAATTTATAGTTATCTAGTGAATTAAATGAAAAGCAAGTCTAAGAACTCGTAGGTATTTCGAAACATCCAGCGGACAAAAAAGCAGAAATCCTACACATTATTTCCCCCATTTAATTGTTTTTATGTTTAAACTGAGGTGAGTTCTTAGTGCAGGGCTAAATGAAGGATGGATGGATGGATGGATGGATGGATGGATGGATGGATGGATGGATGGATGGATGGATGGATGGATGGATGGATGATGGATAGGTGGATGGATGGATGGATGGATGGATGGATGGATGGATGGATGGATGGATGGATGGATGATGGATAGGTGGATGGATGGATGGATGGATGGATGGATGGATGGATGGATGGATGGATGGATGGATGGATGGTCGGATGATTGATAGGTGGATGGATGGATGGATGGATGGATGGATGGATGATGGATAGGTGGATGGATGGATGGATGGTCGGATGGATGGATGATTGATAGGTGGATGGATGGGTGGATGGATGGATGGATGGATGGATGGTCGGATGGATGGATGATTGATAGGTGGATGGATGGATGGATGGAAGGATGATGGACTGACAGATGATGGATGGATGGATGGATGGATGGATGGATGGATGAATGAATGAATGGATGGATGGATGGATGGATGGATGGATGGATGGATGGATGGGTGGATGAATGAATGGATGGATGGATGGATGGATGGATGAATGGATGGATGGATGGATGGATGGACTGGATGGATGGATGGATGGATGGATGGATGGATGATGAAATTCCAGACTTTTCTCAATGAGTGAAGGATGGATGATGCTGATGTCACATTTTCCTGCTCATGGGAAACAGTTGTGTCTCTACCAGTGAAGCTCAAACAGGTGAGTTAGTTCACTTTAATGCAACAGAGCAACTTATCCTCTGTCTCTGGATGCATGTGGTGTTTTTTGTGCCGGAGAACCAGAGAACTACTATTTTGATTGATATTTTATGATCGGAAACCCGGGATTAAATGAAATAAGTAGGTTATTAGGTCAAAGTACTGAAAAACAAAATGGTTAAAAAGAAACTGAAAATGCAGAGATCTAGTCTTTATGTTAGGCTTACTAACATCGTTACATTTTATATCCTATTGAATTATGTGCGCATGTATAAATGGAGCAGCAGATGATAGAAGGTGTTTGTGTTTCCCCTGCGTGGCTCACCACCGCAGGATGCGGGGAAAGATGGAGTCCCGCAGGTTACTCACTCAGCATAGCCGGTGGACCAGGGCAGCCGCTTGCTCTCCTTCAGGATCAGGATCGGACGGGCGACATGATCCGCCGAACACTCGACCTCATCCGCAGACAGTCCCAGGAACTCCGGTCTGCTGTACGGGAATCTGAGCGGCAGATCCGGGCCGCTGGGATGTTCTCCGCTTGATCCTGCGGCCATCACGCCTCCCATTAGGCTGGCCACGGCTGTCTTCACCCGCGTGAGCATGGCTGGCTGCAGGGCGATGCTGGTGCGTGATGAATCCCGCACGGGGACGCGGTTTCTCTGTGGCAGGCAGACACACAGCCGCTGCTGCTGCTGCGGTGCATGCAAGGCGGAGCAAATGATCAGACAGGCAGACTGGGCTTCTCACTGGGAGTCATGTGACAAAGCATCGCTGCCTGTGAGCCTTGGAGAGCCGCTTATCGCTGGCAGAATGGAGGTCAAAGGTGTTTCATCTCGGAGTGACGATCCGCTGCGGGCAATATTGACTGCTGTCTGCAGGAATCTGACAAGGAACCTGCCTTTTAGGGAGAAAATTCTTTATTTTAGTGATTTATTCTCGCCAATGTTCTGCCCTGTCAATAAACTTACTCCATGACTTCCTACAACCCCAAATAATGTGTTTATTTAGGACATAATATTGAGCTATGTAAGGTTATTCAGTTAACTGTGTTGTAGAAATGGCTTCCTTCCAGTGGTGTCAAAAGTACACACATTTGTTACTTAAGTAGAAGTATAGATACTGCAGTTTAAAAAGACTCTGGTAAAAGTTGAGGTATCAACTTGACCTCTTAACTCAAGTAAAAGTGAAAAAGTATGTGCTCCAAAAACTACTTAAAGTATAAAAGTATAAAGTAACCTTTAAAAAACACATGCCACTATATGAACTGAAAGCTAAATTTTTTTGACTATTTTGAAAATTTCTTTGAGATAGGGCCAAGGATGAGGGAGATCTTGTTGGTCTCCGTCTCCATCTCCCGATACGCTCTCGCCTGTGTCCGACATTTTCAGACATTTCAACATCTTTTTTTGAATCCAACATTATAGCATGGCATAGACGATTCACGTTTGCAGTTTGAAGAACACCTGCTTGCTTCTGATGATTTCCTTTAGCTAACCAATGAGTGTTTGCGTTATATGACTCATCCAATGACACTAGTTTTCACTAGATGTGGATGGCGCCAATGATCTGCATTGGATGGAGCACATGATGTGAAATAAATATTTATAAACATTAAATTGAAGCCAAGAGTAACGAGCAATGTTTGTTTTACAAATGTAAGGAATAGAAAGTACAGATACTTGTGTGAAAATGTAATGAGTAGAAGTCAGGAGTAGGAACAAAAATAAGTAATGGAGTAAAGTATAGATACCTAAAAAGTGTACTTAAGTACAGTAACAAAGTATTTGTACTTTGATACTTGACATCTCTGCTTCCTTCTAAGTACTTTGCAGAGCCAAGTCTTCTTTAGGGATGTTGACTTTCATCATAAACCTTCAAGGATTTTAAGGATCTTAACCAGAGGTTCCCAAACCTTTCCACTTCTGACCCAAAAAATGTTACCAAAATCCCTTCATGACCCCCAAAAATCGATACAAAAATGTATTCAAAATGAATCACTCAGTGGTCCGCTCAGTTGCGCAGTGGTGCCTTGCAGAAAGAAGGTTCCAGGTTCAATTCCCGGTCTGGGGTCTTTCTGCATGGAGTTTGCATGTTCTCCTTTAGCATGCATGGGTTCTCTCTGGATACTCCAGCTTCCTCCCGTAGTCCAATAACATGACTGTTAAGTTAACTGGCTTCTCTATATTCTCCTTCGATGTGAGTGTGTGTGTGAATGGTAGTTTGTCCTGTTTGTCTCTGTGTTGCCCTGCGATGGACTGCTGACCTGTCCAGGGTGACCCCGCCTCTCGCCTGTAGCCGACTGGAGATAGGCACCAGCAGCCCTTGTGACCCTACTTGGGATTAGCGTGATGGAAAACCGATGGATGAAGCACGAGTCTAAACATATTACAACACACAATATTGAGTGGGGAGTGGCGGCCTAGTGGTTAGGGCGTGAGTTCGATCCCCCACTCCCACAGACTGCTACTCTTGGGTCCCTGAGCAAAACCCTTAACCCCACACTGGTCCCCGGGCGCCGCACAATGGCAGCCCACTGGTCCCCAAGGGAATGGGTTAAATGCAGAGAAGGAATTTCCTTCTGGGATTATTAGAGTATGTAAAATAAATTTAAAAAATTATTTTAATAGATCCTTTCATATCTTTAATAATAATGTTTAGTTTCATTTCTGAAGTGGATCTTAAGGACCCATAATGGTAGATCAAAACGCATAACCGGGGTCACGACTCCAACTTTGAGAGTCAGTGGTCTAGGATGATTTAACGGGCGGCACAAAAGAAGAACAAAAGATACGTCCCACTATATTTTTCAAATATAAAAAGAAAATCCAGCAGTAAAGTAACTATTCTTCACGCTCTCCCTCATTTTTCAGCAGCAAACAGTGAAACTAAGCATGAATATATTGACCCCCCCACGTCATGATATTGAAATAAATGGTTTGGTCCTCAGGTCCTGCATCACATCAGGTCTCCCTGTCTGTCACCAGCAGTTCATTCGTACCGGGGCTCAAATGTCACGCACACGTCATTTAACGTAGTGATAACGAGAGAAACAAATACACAAGAAAATGTGTAAATAAGCTGTAGTGGGGTAAAAATGTCCACGGATGAAAACTGCAGTGCCCTAAAGTCTGGGTTTCAAAAAGGAAACGAAAAGGAAGGAGTAAGAGGAGAGAGGGAACCCGATACAATTACCTGAAAAGTTCAAATGAACGATAGATCATTAACCTGTTGAGTAAAATAAGATAACTAACTGCAGGATACAACAACTTAGTTATTCTTCCTCCACTTTATTTATATAGCACGATTTCAATAAACAAGGTTTCCAAAGTGCTGCACAAAAAAGATAAAATAAATAAAAGTAAATAAAATAAAATAAAAGCACTGCTCGCACAGGATAAAAATCTGCATGTGTATACATAAAATCACATCATTAACGATGCCGCCCTGCCGGGTGCGTCTGAAACGGAACATGTTTGCAAGTTTTTTCTTTTTTTCTTGTGCTTCGTTTTTAGCTTAAAAAAATAAATGAACCAGGATTAATCCAGCATTTATTGAGCTTATAGTGTGACTGTAATTAAAGGAAAATTCCGGTTTTTAACACTTTTAGCCCATTTTCTGTAGTGTCCAGGATGAAATCGAATGATCGACACCAAAATTTTGACAATTGCTCCTGTCTCTGCTATTTGGCTCATGCAGAATCCCCCCCTGGCTGCTTCAGAATGGCTTCCATAGTGCATGTCCGATAATGTCCTTAAAACAACCTTAAACGTTCTTTTTTTTAAATATGCTACTCACCGGGTCGTCAGCGCTGTTCAATGACGTTCCAAAAAAAGTTTTGTGAAGAAAAACCGTTCCTGTCTTGTTTTATTTAGCATTTTGTAAATCCCAGAACTATTTTTTCCGTTACATCACAACCACTTATAAACTTCCGCTTCCCGTTCGAATCTGAAGCGTTGCACACTCCAGACCACTAGTTGGCGACGGTATCCTCTACCGTCAAACTCAAAGTCCAATATGTCCTCCTCAAGAATCCACCTTTCGTATTCCATTTTCAGAGTTTTTTAAAGTGTTTAACAGAGACGTTAGCACCTCGACGTCGGAGTACACAGAGTGAAGCAGAAACACTTGGGCCTTGCGAAAAGACTACAACTAAGCGTAAACAGGCCCTGTTTCCGTTTCCGGTGGCGGAGGGATATTGACTATTCCAACAGAACTCAATGGGATTTACAAAATGCTAAATAAAACACTACAGGAACGTTTTTTCTTTATGAAACTTTTTTTGGAACGTCATTGAACAGCGCTGACGACCCGTTGAGTAGCATATTTAAAAAAAAGAACGTTTAAGGTTGTTTTAAGGACATTATCGGACATGCACTATGGAAGCCATTCTGAAGCAGCCAGGGGTGGATTCTAAATGAGCCAAAAAGCAGAGACAGGACCAATTGTCAAAATTTTGGTGTCGATCATTCGATTTCATCCTGGACACTACAGAAAATGGGCTAAAAGTGTTAAAAACCGGAATTCTCCTTTAACACAGGGGCCAAAGAGCTAAGCCAGAGGGCTTGCAGCTGAGAATTTACCTTTACCAACCAGACCAGGCAAGGAAAACACCATCAGAGGGTTAGCATCAGCTAAACGCTAGTAGATGTTTAGCAGGATATTTACATAAAATAATTGTTGTTATACCTCCTTCATCATTTAACCGATGATCCACCAGCAACCCTTTTTCTTCACCCCCTCCCTGTCCCAATGACAGGTAGGCAACATTGTGTTCAGGGACAGGCCAGTTTGCATCAGTACACTCTGTTGGAATTAACCTCTTTTTACCATTTCATATACATACAGTATATCAATGTCTTTCATGAGGCCCCATGTTCCTGATTGCCCCCCTGGCTACAACCACCAGTTTTCATGGTTGGTATGTTGCCTTCATGAGAATGTGCAGTAGCAGTTTTCTTCCACACATATGTCAAATTTAGCCTAAAAGCTTCTATCTTTGGTTTCATTTAAATAAGAAGGGTGAAGAATCATAAGCGTCGTAAGACCTATTTAAGGGTGGCTTCAGTCACCATTTCTTTGGCATTAGCCACCCTATAATTATTTTGCGATTTAAAAAAAAATATATTTTTTTTCTGTATTTATTTTTTCCTCATATTTTCCCAAAACAAATGCAGTAAAGCACCGAATAAAAGCCATAAAGAAGACAAGTTAATCTGAACAATCATAGGCGTAACTTCCTTAAGGACTGGTGTGGACATGTCCCCACCAATATTTTGTACACATATTTTGCTTTCGGTGCTGTGTATTTCTGATTAAAACCCCATTCATGCCGCTCCTCAGAAAGAAAATAAAAAAAGTTCTCCCCGCTGCTCACCGTCCACAAACCCCGACAAAAAACTCAGAAAAAATAATCTGTTGCCTCTCGCTTTCTCCCCATCACCCCCCTCCAACCTCTCCCCATAACATTTGAATTGAAGATATCCGCGGGTGACGGGTCGGGTTCGGTAGTCATCCTAACGGGTTCGGGCGGGTGCGGGTTGGTAAAACTCGACCCATGCAGGTCTCTAAGCTACACTACATTCAGTATCGTTGCCATAGAAACAGACAACAGCGCCAATATATCAGAATTATACTAAAACACACGCAAATAATTTCCCACATAAAAAACAGGACTTTCAGTCCATTACAGTTTTCCGTTTTTAGAGGG